GCGGGCGTAGACCGATAGAGATGGAAATTAGCGGGCGTAGACCGATAGAGATGGAAATTAGCGGGCGTTGACCGATAGAGATCGAACAGGCAGGCTGTAGACCTATGTAAGTGGAGATAGAGGGAAGCAATACGGGCGCAACGGCCTAAATCGTATCGTTGCTGAGAGATAGAGGGAAGCAATGCGACAAACGCAACCATAATACGGGCGAAACGGACTAAATCGTATGGTTGGTGAGAGATAGGGGGAAGCAATACGATAAACGCATCCATAATACGGGCGAAACGGACTAAATGGTATGGTTGGTGAGAGATAGAGGGAAGCAGTACGATAAATGCAACCATAATACGGGCGAAACGGCCTAAATCGTATGGTTGGTGAGAGGTGTCATATACACGGATGAAGTGTACACATATGTACACACACTGCATAGGGAGAAGTCACAAACGGAAAAAATGTGAGAATGTGATGAGCAGCAACGTAATAATGTTGTCAGTGAGTTGTGTGAATAGTGAAAGTGCTTAAGAGAGAGACTATCGCACAATTTTCGCTGTATTGAGTGAGCGTTCATCGGGCTACTGCTCGGTGTGGAAAACGCGCCACGATGAGGCGGCCGTAACGGCCTAAATCGTATCGTTGCTGAGAGAGAGAGGGAAACAATACGATAAACGCAACCATAATACGGGCGCAACGGCCTAAATAGTATGGTTGGTGAGAGGTGTCATGCACACGGATGAAGTGTACACATATGTACACACACTGAATAGTGAGAAGTCACAAACGGAAAAAATGTGAGAATGTGATGAGCAGCAACGTAATAATGTTGTCAGTGAGTTGTGTGAATAGTGAAAGTGCTTAAGAGAGAGACTGTCGCACAATTTTCGCTGTATTGAGTGAGCGTTCATCGGGCTACTGCTCGGTGTGGAAAACGCATCATGATGAGGCGGCCGTAACGGCCTAAATCGTATCGTTGCTAAGAGAGAGAGGGAAACAATACGATAAACGCAACCATAATACGGGCGAAACGGCATAAATCGTTGAGTGAGCGTTCATCGGGCTACTGCTCGGTGTGAAAAACGCACCATAATGAGACCGCCGCGACGGCCTCAATCGTATCGTTGCTGAGAGGTGGAAGGAAGCAATACTGCTACAAATCTGAAACTTGGAAATTGACGGTTGTGAAAGGTAGATTCCCACTGAAAACGGGAAACGTAACCATAATGAGGGCACGACGGCCTTAATCGTATGGTTGGTGAGAGGTGTCATTTTAAAGTGAAGGTTTGACAGAAGCCGGAGCGGCCGGGTTGTTCACTGAAATGAAAGGAAACGGAAGGTGGTCAGGACACCGAAGTTTGAATAGCAGCAGATTGTTGCTAAAGTCACCCACTGTGGACGGGGATTGTCGGCGGGTCTCTAGAAGCAGTTGTGGTTGGCTTAGAGCTCGAAAGCGCCGGGAAAGGGGATGATGTGGCACCCACACATCGGACGCGGAACCGGTTGTGAGTAGGCTCAGTGAGAGTAAAGAAAGGGGCGAAATGGTTATCGATAAATGAAAAGTGAACCCGGCTGTGAAGGTGGCTGCTCAAATCTTGTGCCAGTGGTTCCAGGCAAGTGTAGTTTTCGCATTTGTCTACGGAACCAGTACTGCCAATCTGAAACTTTTAAATTGACGGTTGTGAAAGATAGATTCCCACTGAACATGAGAGATAGCGGTGCAAGTGTGTAAGGCGGAAATGAACTAATGTAGGTAATTGTCGAACCTTAGCCGAAATAGCCGAGTTGTTCACTTGAGAAAGCGGCAGTGTTCGCTGTATATGAAACGAAAGATGGTGCTAGACGTGGAAGTCGCCATTGCTCACCGGGTGACAAGCCGTCGATTGTTGTTCGGAAAGAGGGTGGTGGACTTGAGAGCCCTGAATCGAAAGGTGAAGGTTGCGCTGGTGGTGGGTGCCCGCTGGTTTCAACTGGAACTCAGTAGTGTATAGGGCTCGTAAGGAATGAAAGGATGTGGCTGATAATGAAAGAAGGATCGGGCTGATGAGAGAAGTGAACACGGCTATGGAGGTGACGGATTTCGACGTGACCGACTGCTGATGGGGCAGCAGCAGCCGATACGAGAGAAATGCACCGGTGTGGGAAGGCTATCTTGTGTTGGTAGTAGTGGTTGGTGGT